TTTTGAATGGTGTAGGAGCGAAGTATCTTATTTGCTACACTCATTCATGATGGTTTGCTCTTGCGTTCTTTCATTCGTTTGATGACGAGTATTCGGGTACCCATAAGCTCATAGGGCGTCCTGGTTCATCAACAGTTCCTCGGTAGCGGTGTCCAGTGTGCACGTACTGCGCACTCGAAAGACAGGAGTGTGATTTATATTCCCTTTGTACTATCTGTTGACTCTATTCTTGTTTGTTTTTGGTACTCGTGGTCTCTGGAGGGCGATATATGTGGATCGTAACACGAGTCACTCATCGCAGAGAATTCGTGAGTGAATGTCGACGCGGTTTTATAGAAACGAAGATGGGTCTTCCAATAGCTCCATCATGTTGCAACCCTCGAATACGTCCGAAGGCTCTGAAAACGATTTTAGAGTTATACTCTATTCTTGAGCATTTCTCTCACGGACTGCTGGGGCATATCCTATCATTGTACATTCGCCAACTAAAGTGTCTCCTTATCCAGTCACTGTAAAGTATGGGAGTATGATAACATTTGCATCCGATCCTGTTGCTATGGCTCCCAGTAAATGAGTAGCGCACGCGGCTCGGGTACAAATGTGCTTACTTCCCCCTTGAGGATTTGGACACTGTCAGTTGTGTTAACTTTACCGTATCCTGAGTTACTATTTGGTTTTCGTGCACAAGTCCCAGTTCTATCAGCTTGCTTCGCCGCATTGCGATCATAGTGTTGATACCTACACAGTGACTCAGCCGTCGCAATGAATATTTCAATTGATCAGATTACAGGGAAAATTTGGGAAGCTACCCACCTTGCGTGGTTCAGCAAAAATCACTGGGTTAGAAGTAATTTCATTAGGGTTTGACCACTGCACTTCAGTTGAGAATTAATAAACTGAAAAATGTGATACATATATATATATATATGCGATCCAGGTGCCTTTAGCTAATCTATAAAGGAGAAAATGTATGAATGTTGTCCACATAATCCTCAGTGGCAACAAACCCCTCTGTGTACCAAGCTATACTCGCGAAATGTAATGTTCCACTACACTATGCATCACCTGTCAACCACTACCTTCCAAGTTCCAGTTTAACTCTGGCTATTTCTACCAGATACGGTCTCAATGATCAAGATGACCGAGCGTGACCCCTATGTAAACCGCGGTGTAAGCGGTAAAATTACCAGAAAAACAGCGGGCTGGGTATCAAGATCATGCAGCAGATAAGCACACCATCTGCGCCACCTGCTGAGACTCCGGATGCCAATCATTTGCCTAACCCCATGTGATTAACCTTGCGATGTTCCATGTTTTCGTTGTAATTCGCACCAGCGTACCGAGTTTTGCTCCGGATAACATTGACTGACACTAAATCTTCCGGGCTATGATTCCATTCATTGTTTTCCGAGCCATGTACTCATGGTTTCGTTTTAACCCCGAGGTTAGATACGATCGATCACATACCATGTTACATGCCCAGGTGCCACACCACATGCAGACTTGGGCCACTTCGCGGTCTCAGAGGTCACACCCTCTCTATATTCATTTCATCCCACAGTTGCCCTGACACACATTACACATGCCATGCGCTTTAAAGCAAACCAATCGCGTAGGGTTACTGGACCCATCAAAGGACCGTAGGATCCCTCTCACGGATTCTGTATTATGTGATCCCATTGTGCTGTGCCATTTGCGGTGACTGCTCCTATTTTGTGCCTTGCAAGACCCTGTTGATTGGAACTGAACGAGTATTGTTAAGACATATTACATAGCACCAAAATTTATGTTTGAACAGCGCCGTAGTTTATGTCTCGACTTCCTTTCTTGGTTGGACCGGGAGTTTATACGCGTCACCCGAGTCCCAAGCGAAGGTGTCGCTTACACATTGTACCAACTAAGATTAAGCGTCTAATCCGGTACACATGCAGGTGCTTTAACATTCAGCAAGGTAATTATTGAGCTTTTATGTTCATAAACCTGTAAAGAACATTGGGCGCTGTAAATTTCGCATATGCCGAAATTACTATGCCCCACAGAGGAGGAATACTTTTGGCACTAAACCTTTCGATGACCCATGATAAGGTAACATCCTTGATTTATGCACATGCAAGCTACTTTGTGCATCACAACTAGTTTTGACCGTAAAAAATTTAATACCATTTTGGCAGTGAATTCGTGGAAACAAGCACATGTTGTGCATGGGTAAACATTATTTTGCAAGTACTTAGTAATACTCACAATTGATTGCTTAATATGTGTCAGATACCTTCTACATGGTACCCAATTTTTATGGACTTACATTGGAGGCTTTGAAGGTAACTGTTTTGAGGATAGCCCGCCTGACCCGATCTTTGCACTACCAGGTATATAAATACCACCAAGTAGTGTCGATTACCAGTTCCGCGTGGTTGCCCCGTTTGTCGTGTTAACCTTGGTTAGAGCACAAAATGTTTCAGAACAGCCATTCTTATCGGGATTAATGATATACTGGTTGTATTTGCACAGCCATTGTGGAAATGTAGTACTCTAAAATTGCAGTCTTCCCAAATAGGTCCGTTGAATTGGAAGATAGAATACAATTATTGTCCTCCATGGTCACCATCAGTGATTAATTTTGGAACCGGGTTAATATCTTAAACTTGGTTTGTTTTCTGAACTGAAGCAAGGTTTGTGTCACATAGCACCGTTTTGTTCCTTTGTCTTTTTGCCTGTCTGGATTTGCTATAATCCAAGTTATAGCCCATCAATGGCGCTAAAAGAGGTCAACTTGACTGGACAGTCTAGTATTTTCGCCCGGACGGATTCGTTTACACTTTTATGTTTTTCTCCGTAAGGAGATAATTGGACAAATGGTTGCCTTCATCGAGTTTCGGAATAAGTAAATTGGCACCTGGAATATGCAAGATGGCATCAGTGCAATGAAGTGTGAAGGAAGTGTTCGGCCAACAACTAAGACATTCTATCTAATGACCAGTGATGATGGTAGTTTTGACACAAAAGGAATCTTTGAATATTTTCACACACTTGAACTGCAAATAAACAGAGGAAAGTCTCAAAAATGGCAAAGCATTTCTTTCAGAAGAATTGCAGTGGAAGGATTCCACTCCTTTCATAAATATAACCGACTGCTGAAGCAGAGAGATATTGAGTTTTGCCCACCCCAGAAACATTGTACTCCATCGCGCATATCGAACTTATCTGATCACATCAGATAGTGATAGCAGACAGCGAAACTGTGGCCACTGGGATGTTAGCCGAAACATCTCCACTTTTAGCCACCGAGTCACGATGGGTAACATGGAGCCAAGCGTTTGCAGTTGTGACCTAGTAGTCGAAGGTGTAGAGGTTTCGGCTGAACTTCGTATGGTTCAACCTTAGAAGTCTGTCAGTTCCACTTGATGTGATCAGTTAAGGTCGAAAAACCTCTTCGAGAGCAGTGTTGTTGAGTAGGCAAAGCCCAGTATTTAATCAGTTCATCAGTTACAATCCCAGTAATCTAATTTGTCAAGGTTCTCTCCAATGGTAATCGTGAGTCACATTGAGATTGCGTGTTGCAACCCATTCACACAAAGAGTACTCCAAAGTGACCCTCCAGTGCAATCAATTGATTGTGAAGATCCTAGGCAAATATATTTATGATTAATATGGGTGATGTTGTCTGTGGAAAGTTTAGTAGGTGGACGAAGCATGGTATGATCAACGAAGGATGAGTTAGAGCACGGGATCTTCATTAGTTGTTTATTCAAGTGAGTTGCACGTCCTTGAGGCAGCGTGACAAAGTAACCTGGCGAGTGTCGATATCAGCCGTAACATTTGTGGGAGATATCAAAATGGCTACTTACTGAGACGGTGCAAATCGCTGTAGTCAAGACCGTTGTGCGCAGAATAGGCAGAGCTGAATTACTACTTGCTTGGGGACTGATTATATTTTTGCTGTTGAAAAATCCGTATGGGTTTGAAATTGAGTCACATCATCACCATCACAGAGGTTTTAAGGGTAGCGGGACATTGGGTGTTATACGTTGGCTGCTGACACCGTGCGCACACCAGTAACCTCGCTACAAATGATTGCAAAAGTTATGTGCTCAATATATATATATATATATATATATGGTAATAGCACTGAAGTGCAATGGGATAATAGACTTGATATGGTGTCTGTCAGCAGCTGGTATGAACTTAGACGACCTTTCTGTTGGTCTTTTGGACTGGACGATGGGGTGCATTCACTCACGACCGCGGTTGCACCTAGCCTTTGCACAGAGTTCGCATGCACAGGCTTTAGTCTCTAACCTATGGGACAAAGGCAATCGATATGACTAAGTGACTACTTCTCATGCACTTCACTAACTTGTAGGCTACTGTTGTGATGACGACCGGACGGCCGTTCTCCGAGAATTGAGTGAATCTGGCACTAATGAAATCGTGCTATAGTACTGAAACTCCAGTTTCTACTCTTTTCCAACCATTACTCCGATCATACCGCTTGTGATCCCATGGGTCTATTAAATGTACATGCTGAGAAACCTTGGCTTATGGGACTACCCTTTCCTACGTATGACGTAGCAGTGCAAGTAATTGTAACTAGCCTGACATTACAGCGCTTGCAATAACCCATCCGTTTACACTACTGATATCCATCAAAGCCTACTAAGCCAATTTCCTCACCTGGTCGAGAGAATAGAGACCCAAGCGGACCTGGATAATCGAAACTAAGGTCCAGTGCTTCGTCATAGCTTTAGTGGTGACGACTTTTATATTCGTTGTCACATCTTTCACCACAGTTCGTTTTAAAGCATCGGACCCGTTATGTGCTAAGGCACTCGACCAAACTGCAAAAAACCGACAAACACGAGTGCTTTGGAACAGCTAAGTGAAGGACTCTATTTGATCTAGCTGAGTGGTGTGCTGTTATCGATACGACGAAATCACGTCGTTTTTATTTAGTGATATTCCTTGCAGATATTCCGGTTATTTCTAAAATTACTCCCGTACAGGTGACTTGCAAGAACTTCAGAGCCTTCGAAACAACCCGCGAATAATGCACGAAGCTGTCGTGATTCAAGGAATAGTTCGGGGATGTTAGCATCCAACAGACGTCTAGTGTGAGGAAGCACGACAGTCGGAAAGGTAAAGAGTGCAAAAAGAACCACTGCACCTCCAAGGAGAATACTGGCCGACAATCTATGGAAGAGCTATGAGCATTCCTTGTCACGGTCGTTGATGTGAATTTCCTTCAATTTACACGCTGTTCAACATCTCAGCAAAGCAATGGATTGACCACTCCCGAAGCACTGTTCATTCATTCCATATGAGCTGCATGACTGATGTTGTTCCAAAGTTTTATGACAAAAACATGTGGCTCCTTTTTAGTTTACTAGCTAAAAACACCCATTCGGTTGTTCTCTGTGAAAGAATGCTTCACATTAAAACCTGCCATTGTGTCCGTTTCAACCCTGGGGTTCTCATACTCAGACATTTCTTAATTTGATTAAACACTTAAGCATATGCAACATTCGCTTTGCATATACGAAGTGCTCAAAGCACTCAAGATAACGGGGAAACGGAACAGAAGCAGCTAAGTTAGTGGCCCAAGGAATTTTGTATGAGAGTACAATTAAGTTAACCCGAAAATCCGCTAACTATCTGCTCAATCTGGCACTTTCACAGTCGTGTTGTATCATAGAACATCATATGATAGATTAACAGGATGGAAGATAGGAACCGATACTACGTAATCGGTTGATATGCAGTTGTCCGTTTTGGACTTACATGCGCATGTGCAAATTAAATTTTTTCGCTGCATAGGGTAAGACAAGCGTAGGCTAGTAAAAGAACCTAATAAATACCGCGAGCTCCATGTGATAGCTGATTCACCAGGCCGCAATGATTACTCGTGGCTTACCCACGCTGCTATCGCCAATGTGTGGGTGTACAGTAGGAAGCAAGTTACAAGATTTCGCCTGAACTTGAGAACCGTTCGCGAAAGCTAATGATAAATATGGGTGAAATCAACAAATAGAGGTAGAAAAAAGTACACTGTGCAGATTGAGTTTAATGCAAAGAAAATAAATGTTGTATTGCACACGAAATAAACTGAAACACAGGAGAATCTGAAGGAGCACAACTTTGGTATTGTGATACCTGTCTCTCAAATGTTAACCACTTAAGCTGCTGTGTCCAATTTGCTGACTGATGGGTTTGTTCTTCGTACAGTGAAACACTGAAATAGAGTTAGTTTAGAAGAGAAAAGGGAAAGAAGTCCATGTGTTTCTGAGGTCCAGTGCAACCATAGATTACTCATGGAGTTTTCCAAACCGACAAGATGTCAGTAGTTGCGCCTCGTGTAAATTGCAGTCCTTGATAACGATTAGCAGGAAAGCCCAACTGCAGCTCCCGGACAGAGAAGTGCGAAGTGCTGTTGTGTTTGACACTTAGTTACTAGCCATGAATCTAAGCCATTTATCACGGAATGGTGCTACTGTCTCTCAAAACAACTCTTGCTTTCACCGCGAGTGAACAAAATATGCTAATGACTTGAATTATGTGGGTTTCTCTTGTTAGCATGTTTTATTTCTTGTAAATCTCAAACACCATATGTCTTCCTAAAAGTACCGCATGAAAAACCTAGAGCGCACCTTTTCGGTCCACTGCTTCACGTCTTCCTTTGTGTTATGTTTCACCCAAACGGATTCAGCTTTTACAGATTTTACTCCTTGCACTTCTGCAACGCCTGATTTTTATTCGCATAAATTATTATGTTTCGGATGAATCGGGTTTCGAGTTTACCTCCATCAATACTTGTGGGAACATTGTGAAATATAAACAACAGCTGCTACACGGTTGGGAGAATTCCCCCAAGGTTTTGTCAGCAATTACACCGTTTTAACAGAAGAAACCGGTTTAACTAAACGACGAGAAGTGGAGACTGCAGCGAATGCTTTTTTTATTTCCAGCTAACCACAAATCAAAAACTCAAGTAATTTTTGCATTTCGTTCCAACTTATTTATCCTGCTTCTCTGCTACCAAACTCACTGGACCTCGTGTGTAAGCAAGAAGACAAAGTTTTACAACAACCAGAGCTGAGCAGCACTAGGGAATAACCATCTTCTGTCTGAAGGGAATAAACGTGAGAATGTCATCATAGACCACCTGCCAAATGATGCACGTATAGATTTGGAGCTAGCTTTCGAAAATATTTTCGGGGACGAGACCCCTCGGGGTACTCGATTAGAACGAATTTCTGGACGGGTGTTGTGTGAAAGTGCCAGGCGAAGCATCCACAAATTACTATATCCCAGGAGATATTTGAATGACAAACCTATTTTTCTCGCATATGTTTTATAGTACAAGGTGGAATACACTATTCCAGCTTGGTGGCTCTGATGAAGTACGACCTAATCACACGCGAGACATCATAGGAAAGACTGACTAAGAAGGTTATGCGTCTACTTCATCTCTCAAGTAGACCAAGCCAAAAACCCATTGGAATGTAGACAAAGTAGCTACGCTGTTCATGGGTATGTTCAACAATGGCGTACGAAATCCTAGAAATCTCTAGTCCTGTTTACCGGTCGCATTGCCAACCTGGGGAGCACCAAATGAATTTGCGAAAGCGGAATAGCAGGTCGGAATGTTACCTGAATTGGTTTCCTCTCTGGACCATGAAAAGTCGTTTTAACTGAACATATATTTCTTCACACCCTATTGAAATTGTTGCTGATCTACGCCCTTCACGTTGCGTCATCTAACCCTAAGAGCGTCTTGAGGTAATGTAACATGTATGAACGTCTTGTTTATAAGCTTTTCCCATAAATTCACAGTGAGCCCGTTTGCACGTCTTTGGATGAACATCATAACGAGTCCACTGATACGCTCCTTATTTTTTGTTTGGTTAGTCCACGTTTTCTCCGCGGTCACCAGAACAAACTTGTAGGGCTCGTTAAGCATTAGTTTGCCTACCTACAATAGACCACTTTCTTGTTGTTCCGCACAATGAGCAGTCCTCTGAAATACATCAAAATATTTCCTAAAATCTGTAGTATGATTAGCTCTCGTGAAGCCTTTAGTTAGTATTACCACAGGACACCTGTTAGTCTGTTTCCTGTCCGACTAACTGAAGTTAGTTAAGCCCAACCCACCACTGAAGATTTGTATAAAGTAAGCTCAAGGGGAGGGTCAAAGTGAGTTATTGCAAACAGTAGCATAAACATGTTTTATCCTTCCGGTTTTCAACGCCGATTTCATCAAACTGCGGATAGCTAAACTGAATTTTACACAATCTAATGTACCCAAAACTTGTCCCTGCATCCAACGCGTACCAGCTGACGAAGATCTCATTTTCGGAACCAAGCCCATAAACAGACATACGAAGAGGTGTGTTAGCTAGCGAAGGACTATACAGTAAGGTAGATTCAACGATGGGATCGAAAGTTGCTCACCCTTACACTCCAACTCGTCTGGCTTCCGTGCTGAGCAATCACTCACTGACCACCGGACAGAACTTAGTTCATCGTCCAAAATAATGCTGCGTCTTGCAACTCTATACTTTCCTTGTTTTATTCAGGCTGTCACTTTAAGCCGAATGGAATCAATTGTGTGTGCAAAACGTTTAGTTGTTAATCTGGCTCTCTCGGACATATAAACGTTCACTTCGCGCCACAGTTTTATCTGCCTCCGCCCACTATTAGTAGTATTTCAAGTTCTAATTTGTTGCTTTTGTAGTTATTGATAACATTCCGAAACGCCTGCTTTCGCATGCCCGGTATCCTTAATCGTAAAAGTCTATGTACTGTAAGCTCTGGTCAGACAATTCTGTTCGGAGTCACCAGTATCCGGGCATTAACTGCTATATGTATTCAAGCTATTTGAAAACCTTTGCCTCTAGTACTTCGCTGGTAATTAGCGAAGCTTTGGTATGTTGACTACAACCGCTGTCCAAACCAAACTTTCTTGCGAAAATTTGCGTGACACTTATCTCACAGATTCGATCCGGTTTTTATCTGACATCAGCTTTTTCTGTACGAGACATCAATCACTGTGGTGCATCGCACTTGTGTGATGACTGATCCACTTGGTAAGCGTACGTGAGCGCGAGTGAGTAAGCGTAAGTGGTGAAAACTCGCTCTGGTTGGAAGTAGTTGGAAGTGTTCGGAATAGCCTTAATTAGGCTATATGCACAAGGGTTAGCATAAAAGTAACTTTCTCTTGACCTCAATGGAGGACAAACTATTTTATTCTATTTCGTGTACCTCACACTACGCTAAAGTAAGCATGTTTACGCCTGTTGAATACTGCTGTCGACACTTTGTAGGATTACAGTGGGAAAATATTTAAAAGTTGTCAACAATTTTTAATTAGGGGAATTCCTTTCGTGAAATGCCAGCCATCAAGTGAAGCTTGGACGGTCTAAAGTATGCTTGTGTTAACGGTTCAGTCCTTTTGGCATGAATGTAATCAGTCGAAATGGAACTAGCTCAAATAAGAACCCTATGGAGCCGGACATCAGGGATGGAACCTTGAATTTCTCGATATCCCTTTTCATGCAGTGTCCATCTTAGCTGATGGTTCCTCTGTTCTAACTAACTCGCTTTATGTGCAGACCAGGCCAGTTGTGTAGCGATCAAAAAGAACTGCCTATCCTACAGCTTTATTTCCTTTCCTCGATGAAGAACTAGCACACTCGACAGCTGATTCATGGCGGCAGATCTGCACTCATCCGCAGTACATCATCGCTCAGTTGTCGATGTCAACAATCGCATTTTCGTAAAAGCGAAGCACGATGTATACCACCGAAGTAATTCGGCACAGTGAGCGTATTTCACTCTGGTCATTCGATCCTCAAAGCAACATTCATGTTCAGTAGACCTTGCAGGCACCTACTCCTGAGCTCCTCATCTGACTGACGCTTGGTAGCCTATTTTCACGTTTACGCTCAGCTTTAATATTAGCTACTTAGGCGCTGTTCTAAGCCATCTTGCTAGAGACCGGATTACATGCAGCTTTGAATAACAGGATACGGGAAAATGTCCGAGCGCATACGGTTTACTAAGTTGGTCACTGAAACTGTTCACCAGTCATCACGAATTTCAAGGTTCGTCACAGAGCTGTTGCATCGTTATCCACACTTGAAATCTACGTCAAACATACGCTAGTCCCTAAGGCAGCGTGTCACTGGAATGTTCGAGCAAAGCCCTTTCGTGCAAACCTGCAATTGCGTGACCGACCGCTGAACAAGTCCGCATCGTGTTCTTTATCACTGAACAACAAGTGAAACGACCTTGTCCTTCATATGAAAAGACCTGTTACCGGGAAGTCGACACTTAAGGCCCTCAACTTTGTAACGACAGGAAAATTCAACATCGTTCAATATTTAAACAGTACTTACACCTTACAATGAGCACCGTTTTGCGGAACCGATACCACGACGGATATTAGGTGGTTCACCCCAGACCTTACTTCTGACCAAATTCTCTGCTTCATTTCCTTTAACGTGTTGTCAAGGA